GTGGGTTAAACTACAGAACCTAGGACTTGCCGATCAGAAGGTCGGCGGTTCGAATCCCCACAATAGGGTGAGCTCCCGTTGCTCGGTCCCTGCTCCTGCCAACCTAGCAGTTTGAAAGCATGTCAAAGTGCAAGTAGATAAATAGGTACCGCTCCGGCAGGAAGGTAAACAGTGTTTCCGTGCGCTGCTCTGGTTCGCCAGAAGCGGCTTAGTCATGCTGGCCACATGAGCTGTACGCCGGCTCCCTCGGCCAATAAAGCGAGATGACGCCACAACCCCAGAGTCGGTCACAACTGGACCTAATGGTCAGGGGTCCCTTTACTTTTTTAATATATCCCGCCCATCAGGCTGGGTTTTCCCAGCCACTCTGGGTGGCTTACAACAGAAATAAAAACACAACAAAACATCAAACATTAAAAAACAAATATCCTATACAAGCAACAAACAAACCAATTCAACCCACAAATGATTGCACTGAATCTCTTTCGCATTGCGGGTAGATGAAAGTTACTGGAGGTTTTTTACCATTTTGTGGTATTTGTATTTATTTGCCAGTAAAGAAATTGAGCATAGATGTCCACAACTTTACCACTCAGAAATCTCTGGAACCCCCCCCCCCAATCTTCAAGGAATTCAACTTTGTTCTCTGAACTTCAGTGTGCCTCTGTTTGAATGCTGGATTCTATACACACATTTACATATGAGGAAAGGAGAGGAGTTGGGAGCAGAAAGACATACCCTCTGGTCACTGTAGAAGCCAACTCATGTTCTTAACAAAAGCAGGGTACTGAGCAGGAATGCTTTGCCAAGACTATTTACAGGTCCCAGGTATGCTTCAGGCAACCTGCCTTGATAGAAAGTGAGAATGAAGAATCACTGCCCAGTGAGTGCATTCAGACCAATCCCAGAGTAACATATTTTTGCTGTAACTTGAAAGTTAGTTTAAGACACCAAAGGTGTCATAGACTTTGAAGACACTCGAACTCAGAATGCAAGGGAGAAACATGCTAAGAGGAAGGCACGCTTGGCAAATCCACACTGTGATCAACTCCCACCTGGGAACCAATGTCCCCACTGTGGAAGGATGTGTGGGTCCAGAATTGGCCTCCACAGTCACTTATGGACTCATTGTTAAAACTGTGTTTATGGAAGACAATCTTACTCGGCTACAAGTGATTGCCAAAGAAGAAGAAGTCGTCTTCTATGCATTTTACCACTGGCCATGCATACAATTAGGGACGTGGGTGGCGCTGTGGGTAAAAGCCTCAGCGCCTAGGGCTTGCCGATCGAAAGGTCGGCGGTTCGAATCCCCACGGCGGGGTGCGCTCCCGTTGCTCGGTCCCAGCGCCTGCCAACCTAGCAGTTCGAAAGCACCCCCAGGTGCAAGTAGATAAATAGGGACCGCTTACTGGTGGGAAAGTAAACGGTGTTTCCGTGTGCTGCGCTGGCTTGCCAGATGCAGCTTTGTCACGCTGGCCACATGACCTGGAAGTGTCTCCGGACAGCGCTGGCCCCCGGCCTCTTAAGTGAGATGGGCCACAACCCTAGAGTCTGTCAAGACTGGCCCGTACGGGCAGGGGTACCGTTACCTTTACCTTATGCATACAATTAGTATATTCTGCATTCTTCCATATCTGTTCTGCATATGAGTGTAATGCAAAAATTCACAGTCAGTCTGTGATTTAATGCAACCTTCGCCCAAGGAATGTTATGTGCAATTTGCACAGCTCTCTTGGTAATCACTCTGTCTTTGTAAAGTAATTAACAATATCTCCTTAGCACCCCAGCTTCTGTCTGTCCTGCTGGGACCAAGATATTTACAGCTTTGTGGATTCCCTCCCTGCAGAGAGATGTCATCTCTCATTTATTCACCATGTTTACCATGGTCCTGAAAGGCTTTATGGCAGGAGGCAATAAAGATCTCATTTCAAATTTCTAGTGTCGCTTTTAGTGGGCAGAAACAGCAATACTGTAGCTAGTAATTTTATGGACAGACAGGCTTCTGCTTCTTTGTGTCTTGTGCTCTCAAAAACTACAAAAATTCGGCAAAATCAGTATGTGCACACATGTGCAGGGGTGTGCAAGTTTGCCTAATTTTGTAGAATGGCAGCACAGTTTGAAATTCCTGCTTCTGAAATACTTGGTTCTCACTCTGACTCCTGTTCTCTACGCTCATATAACTTTAATTTCCTTATTTACTGACACAAAATCTCAGAAAGAAACATGGACTTTTCTTGTTGGGAATGTGCTCCAGGCCTCTGATTATTTTGGCTGTATCTTTTGCAGGGACACGGGTGACGCTGTGGGTTAAACCACAGAGCCTAGGACTTGCCGATCAGCAGGTCAGGGGTTTGAATCCCCGTGACGGGATGAGCTCCCGTTGCTCGGTCCCTGCTCCCGCCAACCTAGCAGTTCGAAAGCACGTCAAAGTGGCGGGAAGGTAAACGGCATTTCCGTGCGCTGCTCTGGTTCACCAGAAGCAGCTTAGTCATGCTGGCCACATGACCCGGAAGCTGTATGCTGGCTCCCTCGGCCAGTAAAGCGGGATGAGCGCTGCAACCCCAGAGTCAGTCACGACTGGACCTAATGGTCAGGGGTCCCTTTACCTTTATCTTTTGCAGCACTACAATATTCTTTTCAACCAGACCTGTACAGTGTTCCACTGCAGCACAGATTTATATGAGTGTTATGATATGCCCATAAAATGAATGCATGAATAATAACTGAATAACTGAATTTACCATCCTTGAAGTTCTACTCTATAGAGTTTAATCAATTAAAGAGATACTTGGGTTCTTTAAGGAGTACTTGGCCGTTTATTTCCTAATCTGGATCTCTCTACTCCAAATGCTCTGCTAGCAGCAGACTCACTGAATTCAACGAGGTTTATACTACCAGGACATAGGTAGTGACGTGTCCCATGGTGTGATGTGAGAGCACATGAGGCCTCACCTTGCTATTTTATGAAATCACTTATACACTCATTCACTCTACCCACAAAACAATACTAGTCGGTTCCTGGGTGGTTGACCTCCTGGGATTCACATGCGAGGGGACCACCTTGGGTTCTATGATGGAAGAAAGGCAGAATATAAATATAGGAATGACTATCATGGTTCTATAGAGTATTCCACCCATGCAATCTAGGCAAAGTGGTAGGACACACTGAGCACATTGAACTCAATGGAACTGAAGTGTGCAGGTATATTTAGTTTCTTGGCTATGTTTTTATCCCACCTTCTGACAATGAATGTCTCTCAAAGACCCTCCTAAACTCTTTCCAGCCTGAATCAAGTTCATGCTCAACATTGGTGAGTGAGGCTCCTTAATTGTGTTGGAACAGTAGGTTATACTTTTCTTGAAAATCACATCTGCCACTGAGAATTGATTTCCCCCCCTTTTTCTTCTTCTTTCACCTGTTTTTATAAACTGAGCCCTTTTATGTCTCTCTTTTGGAGGGATAGGCCAGCAGGAAGGCATCAAAATAACCAGCGATGGGGAGGGGGTTTGTCTGTGACCTGCTGAGATTTTCTGTACTTGTAACAAGGAGTCTGGCTGCATGAGGTCAGTGAACAGAAGGACCAGAGTAGCCATACCACAGCCTGTTGCGATCATGACCTTTATTTCAATAGAAACTGGTAGTGAGAGGAAGGATGAACGATCTGAAGGGCAAGTCAGTGTCACAGTTGCAGTTCGGTCCCAGATGATGGCTCTGCTTATAGATAGGCAGCTTTGCAATATGTTTCCATTGTCAGTTGCAGAGCTTTTCAAGAGCTTGCCTTTTGTGTACGGGCCAAAAGATATGTAGGGTGGCAGTTTGAGAATGCAAGGAGAGTGCTGTGATAATTATAGGCATGGAACAGCTGCTCAAAACAGTCCCACAGGCAAACATTTGAGCTTGCGTCATAATCCCTTGTGCACAACCCTCCTCCCTGCCTGTTATGCTTCTGTTTTCTGCTATTTGGCTTTAGCCTGTCTTCCGTGTGCAAATGTGCAATTAGTGCACCGTGTGTGTTCTAATATGAACTCACACTGTTCCTGAGGACTTGTTCTCCAAGTCACCTTTTGAGCATCTTGACATTTCCAAAGAGTTCTGACCTCCTCTGTTGGTCTTCGAGAAACCATCAACACGGGGACAGAGGCTTCAGCTTCTTCAGACAATGCAACTTTGGGCAATGTCTTCTGAACATCGAGGGGACCTTGCTCCCTCAAAATGAAAATATTTGGGGGGCCAGAACTGCCTCAGCCCCTAGGAGTCAGAGTCTATATATGGGAAGCTTCCAGACAACCTGTTTATTGAGCATTTGTTCTGTGCACAGAGAGGTTATAGGATGTTGTGTCAAGCAACTGTTTCCCCTCATTTTCTAGTTCATTCCCCATCGCTTGCCTTGTCTCCAGAAGTCTGGTGTGGGGGCAGGGATTGGGTTTTGTCACACAAGAGTGCTAGATGAATTGGAGCTGTGAAACCTGAATTTGCCAGTAGGCAATGGCGAACAGAATCCTCACCCCAAAATAGTGACAGTCTGCAGGCCCCCATGTGAGTAAGAGGAGATATGACAGGAGTGTAATAAAATATACATGGCATGGAGAAAGCGGGCATAGAGAAGTTTTTCTCCAGAAGAAGAAAGTCATGGACATGCGATGGTGCTGAATGGTGGAGGGTTTGGGCCAAAAATTAGGAAGTACTTCACAAAGGTGCATTGTTGAACTACAGAGTTTGCTCTCACAAAAGGCAGGGAGGCCACCAATTTAGATGGCTCTAAAAGCAGATTACACAAATTCATGGAGGTGAAGGCTAGCAGTGGCTGCTAACCCTGGTGCATAGAAGCCAACTCCTAGGGGCTGAGGGGGCTTCGTTCCCCCAATAAAATATTAGAAGGGGCTGGGTCCCTCCAAAGTTGATGGGCATTGCCATTCAAATGGTGTGCGTGCACTGTGTCATGTAGCTGATTATGCAGGGCGGGGCTTACCTGCCCCCCCCCCCAATATTTTATTCAAGTTCACACCCCTGTCCTGATGGCTATGTTCTACCTCCACTCTCAAAGACAGCATGCTTCTGAATACCCATCTGAACCAAAGTCATTTTGTTGCATGGCTTTGTTGTTGTAAGTCAGTCTGAGTTGCTTCTGCAAGAGAGAGACAGAAGTGATTAAGAGAAAGAAAGAAAGAAAGAAAGAAAGAAAGAAAGAAAGAAAGAAAGAAAGAAAGAAAGAAAGTTCTAGTGGGGCTAAATTTATTGGATTTAGCAACCTTTGCCTCTCCATTTTTCTGTAAAGAAGCCCAACAACTACCAGTTATTTCAGGGGACCATATGCCAACTTTCTGCACAAGCAACATATTCTAGGCTATTGCAGTCACATAAATAGCACCGTTCACATTTATTGTGGGCCAATTCCATCACTCAATGAGATTTTCCATGCACTGACTGTCCCTAGGACTCTCTTTGAACTAAGAACGGTTGGTCTTCTGCAAAACTGCCCGGCTTCCCAGAGTTGATTTCTTCCAAATTGGCAGCATTTGAAACATTGCACAGTCTTTACTGTAGCAATACCATATCTGAAGAAATGACTCAATGTCGCTAAAAATACATTAATACAATGTGGCATATTTTCATTTCTTTTATCTTCCCTGTAGATTGCTTTAACTATCCAAAAGACGGACCAGCATCTCCAAAGAAGTTCAAGAACATCCCTGAGCTTGACTTCAGAGGCAGGTGCTCCTCTGTGTCCTCTGAGTGGGCCTTGGTAAGAGTTATCCCAGAGGAAGAGATGACGGAAAACAACCTTCAGGCTGTCCGGGTTATGGTGACCAGTGATGGAAGCAGGTATTTTGGGATGCTTGGATTTGGGAACTGAAACCAGCCTATTTCCCAGCAGGAAGGAGAAAACATGGTTTAGGAAAAGCCAGGCATTGTAAAGTCTGTTTGTTAAAATAAACACAGGAGGTGGTATGGGGGAAGGAAGGATGATGCACCAGGAACATTATTTTTTACAGCTGCCTTGAACCTCTTGTGGGCATATGATTAACTTGCAGGAAATATTTACATCCTACACAAAGTTCTGAGTCAGTGCTTTGGGGAGAGGGATTTAATTGAATCAAGACTGGTTCTGCCTCTTATAAAAATTACAGTATTTGAGGACTATTAGAGTTTTCAGGAAAGTAGCACATTCTAGGCCACGATTTTCATTGCCTAAATATGAAGAAGTCCTGCCCTGTTTTGAACTTTAATTACTTTCGCTCAAAGTAATTAATTTTGGCTATGGTATTAGCCAAAGTGGACTAAAACTCACATCATCCATCGCCATTGGCCTTGCTGGCTGGGACTGATGGGACACAGAGTCCAACAACATCTGGAGGGGAGCACACTAGGTCCATTTATTGCAGCTCTCCTGGTTTGAAGAACCACCCAAAACCCAAACATAGCAAAGTTTTATGAAAAAGGGGATTGGACATTGGTTAAAATGCAGAAAATATGACTAGGAGCAAAAAAATTGGGGGAAATAAGATTTTTTTAGCCCCTGAGAACAAGCAAAACTTGTGTACACAGTTTTCATAAATAATAATAATAATAATACTTTATTTATACCCCGCCCATCTGGCTGGGTTTCTCCAGCCACTCTGGGTGGCTCCCAACAGAATTAAAAGCACAATAAAACATCAAACATGCAAAAGTTCTATACACCTTATATATAAGCAAATTGAGAATGCTAGTGGTGCAGCGATTAAGAGTATGCCTTTGCTTCTATTCCAAATTCTTGCATTCTGTATTCATTTCTAAAATGAAATAAATGCATGTTTGTTTCTTCATAATTCTTTTCGGGGGGGGTGTGTGATGAAAATATAGAGGCTAATGGGAGGAGCAGTTATTGGAACTGGTGAGGCATTGCATTGCATTGCTTTGCAAATTGACCATTCTGTAGGCAAGGGGATCTTGGAGTGCTCTGAAAGTGTCAAGACATGAGAACTGTAAAACTTGAAGCATAGAAACATTGACGTAAAAACTTTGCAAAAGCTTCCTGAGGCACTGCAAATTGATACAACAAGGGAACATTTTGTAGGGAGGAGGGGAATCTCAGAGTGCTCTGAAGGTGCCATGACATGAAAACTGTCCAGCTTGTTGAAGTGGAGAGCAACTGGGAAGCTTAGACGATGTAAGGAAAGGAGAGAGATTCAATTCAGTTTGCATTTAAAAGTGAACCTACCTGATGTCAGGGCGGGTGTCAGGAACAGGTCAGCAGTAACTCACAAGGTGTCAGTGAAGTTAACGCTTTACTCAAAGAAACAGCTCAGGCCTAATGAGCACAGCAACTCTTCCCAGTAAGTCTTGCCCCAAAGAGGCAGTTGTGAGACTGATGGTTCCCACCTTCCCATAGCTCCCTAAGTCACCTCCTTCGGTTCCTTCCCAAGCAATCTGAGGCTCCACTGTCTTGCCTGTCTATGCTCTGCACTCTTCATGCCTCTTTAGTTTCTGGGAGACCAGGGGGATGAGAGCAGGTCAAAGCAGAATGGGGACACCCCCTGGCATCTTTAGCAGCCTGTCTCATATCTGTCTTGCTGCCCCCCAACCCTGCTCTCCAGCCTCTGCTTCTGCCTCTGAGTCTGGACTGCTGTCTGCCACAGCCTCTTCCTGCTCACTAAGCTTTGTTGCCTCTTCCATTTCCAACACCTCCTCCTCTCAGTCTGCTCCCTCTTCTTCCTCTGACCACTCATCATCATCCCACCACCAATTCTCAGGCTTTGAACCATCTTCCCTTAAGGGTTCCCCAGCTGGTGTCTCCCACCATGACACCTGATTTGTACTTTCTGAAACAACAGTGAATTCAAACACAGCCATCCTTCAAAATTCACATTTCTCCAGTGAAGTAATGTGTACAAAAATGCATGTATTTGAGTAAGGGGGGGATGCATATACTAATTAAAATAGCATAGGAAATAACGTAGAAAACACATTAAGGGAAATTGACTTGCAAAAATGTGTGTATTAGGCAAAATTGCACACAAAAGCATGTAAATTAAACTAAAACGCTGATCAATTTTCTCGAGTTCTTTTAACACCCCCCCAAAAAAAAATATTGGGGGAAAGAGAAGCTGAGAGAAACAGAGGCTGACAGATCCATGCATCTCTAAGAGAATGTATCCTGTGGCATAAGAAAAGCCCACCAGTTCCGATGAAGAAACTCATGGGTTCCCATCAAGCTTAGTAAAAATATCTATGGTGTGAAACAGATTTCTGTATTAAATTCAGACTGCCTCAAATTCCTGGAAAATGCTAAAAGTAATTGAAGAAGCTAGTGCCTTTGCAATCAGTGCTAAGCTACTGTGAATATTTAAGTTGCAACTGCTCAGCACTTTCCAGTGACCCATGCTTATGAAGACAGAAGGGCAGCTGTGAAATATTTGACGGGCAGTTTTGTTCCACTTGCTGGCCATATGCTATTATTGTGACAGGTCTTTCTCTTTTTTGCTTCTTAGCTCAGATCTAGAGCCTGATTTTGATGGGGACGCATCTATCTCTGAAAGTGATGAAGGGCTGTTCCCATTGCCTGAGCCAAGGACCAGTGCCCCATCCCTACGAAAGCCTCTGTTGCGGAACACAAGCTTGGGGAAGAAGGAAGAAGGCCATGAAAAGTCGAAGGCTGCAAATGGCAAGTTCTGTAACAACTCAATCCATTCACGCCATCAAGGGGTCATTCAAAAGCTCTTGTTGTCCAGAGAGTGATTGGATTTAACTGTGCAACTTGTGAGTGTTGGGATTCCAAATTTCCCAAAGCTTTTTAGCTTTCAGGAGCTTGGCCTTAGCTTGCCCACACCTACGGTAGTCAGGAGGAGAAGAGGGTGGAGCTCCAGCACCTTAGATCTGCTGAAGTTAGAGTAAGTTAGATCTTCTGAAATGCCTAGCTCCAGAACTATTAGCAGTTCATGAGCCTGTCATCTTTGGTAACTGACCACTCTAACCAGATTCCACTGTGACACAGCCAATGGCGGTCAGAGGGACTGTTACTCTAAAGCACTGCTGGGGAACCCTTGGCCCTCCAGGTACTTCTGAACTACAGCTCCCGTCAGTCCCAGCCAATATGGCCAAAGGTCAGGTATAATGGGAATTGTAGTCCCAGTAACATCTTGGTGATCATAGAATGCCCACCAATACTCAAGAGCAGAGGTAGGAAACCTGTGGCCCTTCAAATGTTGATGAACTGCAACTCACACCATCACAGGCCATTGGCTGTGCTTGCTGGTGCCGATGGGAGGTGTAGTTCAGCAACATCTAGAGGGCCAATGGCTCCCCACACCTGCTCTAGAGAGTGGGGAGGGGATTGTAGAATTAAAAAGAAAAACATCGCACAATACATCCAAACAACTGAACACAACACCGCAAAAATGCATAGGCCTGAATTTTCATGGCTGCAAGGTAAGTGTCATTAAACACAATAATACTGATAGAATCCTGAATAGGTTTCATTCTTGTATTTTTCCATTATTTTATTTTTATTCTTGTTTCGTTTCAAAAGACCAAGGCTTCTCATCATGACCTGCAACCGCTCTGCAACCACAGGCTTCTCCAGTTGCCTTTGATGTGAAATTGTTCAGAGAAATATCAAGTGGAGGTTAATTCGGTTTTTTGCTCTGACAGCACATTGCAAACATAAATTTGCAGAACAATAACTTGATAAAAAAGGCAATATTTTAATCCAAGCACCCCAGGCAAAGAGCCTTGTATGAATTAAATTGCTGTTTGAATAACGATTATCTTTGGAAATGCAACAGGGAACTGAAGAGGTGTCCAGCTGAAGAGGACCATGTGTAATAACAGCAAAAGCCTTTCTCTTCCCCTTGCTTTGTTTTGGCCAAATAAAGCTCAACTTTTTTTCTCAAGATCAATCTATGTTACAAATGTTCCCCTGTTATCTTACCTCCAAACTCTTCATTGTCATTGACAGGGTCACATGGTACATCATGTATTTTCTCCCTTTTTTGCTCCTTAGTTGCCTTTTATATCTCTGTTCCACCCCCGCGGCTCTGTTGCATATGCTTTCTTACTTGCATTGTTTGTTTGCCTGCGCAGCGCAACTAGCTTTTTCCTGAAGCATATTGGAAGAGTTCTGTTTATTGTGCTCTGCATATTCCCATGGGAATGGTCATGGTGATAAATAACTTCTGCAGAGAAAGACAAATGTTACATTTTCTCCCATAGTTATATGAAAGCCCACAAGGAAGAGAAACAATAAGAGCCATAGAATCTGCAGTGCACAAAACAAGCTCTTGTGACGCAGGATTCTGTGAAAGTTAATCATTTAAAAGTTGAACAGCAATTCCAAGGAGTTGAGAAGTGGCACTTTCTGAGGAAACACTGGTTGGTGAACGTTGCCCTCTAGTGGTTAATAGGCACTTTCATATTGATCTGCATGCCTGCTCGGTCTTGCAAGTTGCTGACTGTAAACCTATGCTTGCAAAACAGAAATCTTAACTGTATACTCTGCTGGCAGGGATGAGGAGCAGAAGCAGTGCCTCTCTTGATGGTGCTGGACTCCAGCTTCCATCAGCATCACCCAGCATCACCCAATGGTCAGGGGATGGTGGGAGCTAGTAGTCCAAACAATATCCAGAGGCAAGAAGGTTTCCTGCCTCTGCTCTACTGTTTAAAATGAAGGCCTTTTCAGATGACACTAAAGATGCAACCAGTGCTGTTTTTCTGGGGAAAGGTGTGCCAGAACTCACTCTTGCTCTCTTAGAATGGCAATGGTGCCCACCTGAGAGGTGCCGGAACTGAGTTCCGGCTGAAAAAAACCCTCTGGATGCAACCCTATACAGTGGTACCTTGGTTTTCAAACTTAATCCGTTCTGGGAGTCCATTCGAAAACCAAGGCATGGCTTCCGATTGGCTGCAGGAGCTTCCTGCACCCAAGCAGAAGCTGCGTCGGAAGTTCGGCTTCTGAAAAACGTTCGCAAACTGGAACACTTACTTCTGGGTTTGCGGCATTTAGGAGCCGATTTGTTCGGCAACTAAGACATTCGGGAACCATGGTTCCACTGTATATATTTATTCAGAAGTAAATCCTATTACGTCCTGGAAGACTTACTCTCAGTGTGCATACTGGATTGCAACTGAAAAGTGCTTTAACCCTGCTGTTTTTTTGCATGTATATAAGTTACTAATGGGAAATGTCTGATCTAGATAGTACAGATCTAGAGATTGTTGGGTGTTTGATTTGGAATTGCCAATGTGTTACAGTAGCTCAGGGCAGGGGGGGGGATATGCTATTCTTGGGACCATGGAATTTCACTTCCAGGGCAGGGAATGGAAGCATAAAAGGACATACAGTTGCTTGACCCTTTAGTGAAACCTCTATTCATTCAATATATAGTTTTAAATTTTTTTCAAATGGACCATTTTAAAGTGTCCTTTTCCATCTCTTTAGCTCTTCAACGAGCCCAGAGTCTTCGAGAACCTTCTGCCTCAAAAAAGTACCAAAACTGGAAGAAGAAAATTCAGTCAAGTAAGATTTAGAATGAGTCTTAACTGTTTTCCTTTCCACTGGTTCCCAGCTCCAAATCCCTTTCCTCATGAGGTTTTCCCCTGCTGGGGTTTCAAATGAATGATAGTCACATGATTGGTTCTCCCTTCTGGTCCATCCTGCATCTGCAAAACATACATGTGTTAGAAGTTGGAGTCCAACAGCATCAGTGGAAGAGCCTCTGCCTTGCTTGCAGAAGGCTATCCATGGCCCCTAACCCTGATGCCTATGTTCTGCTTCCACTAGCTTCTGAATGCCAGGTGCTGGAGGAGAGAGTGTTGCTGTGCTTGGGCCCTGCTTTTGGGCTTCCCAGAGGCATCTGGTTGGTGTCTGTGACAACCGCATCCTGTGCTAGATGGGCCTACTGGCCTGATCCTGCAAGACTCTTCTTATACTCTTACAACAGAAGGTCCCAGATTCAATCCCTGATATCTCCAAGTCAGGTTGGGAAGGTCTCCAGTTTGAAACCCCAGAAAGCTGCTGCCCTAGATGGGCCAATGATCTGATTTGGTGTAATACAGATTCCTGTGTTCTTGTGATACTTCTCAGGTATCTCTTGCCTGTGGTCTGTCTTCTACTATGTACATGTGGACCTCTCAGCATCCGGGAACACACTTGCATCTCTGAGCAAGTTGCTGTCACAGTGGCATGCCCATTTGGTTGGCACAGCTACATACAATCTCTGAAGCTGTTATTCGGCTTCTGCAATGCATTCTACATGGGGCTACCTTTGAAGGTGACCTGGAAACTACAACTAATCCAGAATGCGGCAGCTAGACTGGTGACTGGGAGTGGCCACTGGGACCATATAACACCGGTCCTGAGAGATCTGCATTGGCTCACAATACATTTGCGAGCACAATTCAAAGTGTTGGTGCTGACCTTTAAAGCCCTAAATGGCCTTAGTCCTGTATACCTGAAGGAGTGTCTCCACCCCCATCGTTCTGCCCAGACACTGAGATCCAGCGCCGAGGGCCTTCTGGCAGTTCCCTCACTGCGAGAAGTGAGGTTAGAGGGAACCAGGCAGAGGGCCTTCCCGGTAGTGGCGCCCGCCCTGTGGAACACCCTCCCATCAGATGTCAAGGAAATAAACAACTATCTGACTTTTAGAAGACATCTGAAGGCAGCCCTGTTTAGGGAAGTTTTTAATGTGTGATGTTTTATTGTGTTTTTAATATTCTGTTGGGAGCTGCCCAGAGTGGCTGGGGTATAAATAATAAATTATTATTATTATTATTATTATTATTATTAGGCACAATAATTGTGAGAACTTGCCAGAGCCCACTTCCTATAATAATGCTGTTGTTAGTAGTAGTAGTAGTAGTAGTAGTAGTAAATAATAGCATTAAGAGTAATAATCCTGACTGCAGCTTCCACAAATAGTTTCTATTTTCTTCTCCTTTTCTGTAGTTTCTTCCTCTTCTACTGAAGTTTATAAGACCAGTTTTTGTATAGCTGTGCCTTAGCCTACTGGTTAAAAAACAACAAGAGGAAACACTTTAACAATCTTTTAAGGGTAGGTGGGGAGCAAGCCTACTGCCAGCTCCTTTTGCAGCTTGCTCATTTACACATTTGTTTAAAGCTTTGCCTATCTATGTGTGTAAACCTCCCATGTGGGTCTGGTGATGAATCTCCAGAGGGAGCTAACAGCCCACCAGAAGGAGATGAGTGAATTTTAAGAAAATAGCAAAACCCATCTACTGACAGAAACCAGCTCCTGGCCCAACCACAGTATTTTGATTCACCACCTCCACCCGCCATTGTCTGAAAAGCTGTGGTTTTAATATCTTTGTAAAATTCAGTGTGTCTAGAAACCAGAATCCTCAACATGGACTTGTCACCCAGGCCAGTGTGTGCGTGCATAAGTTCAGTTCACTTCCCCCCCCCTTAAGTGAGCGCATTTCATGATGTCAATGTAAAAATAAGGGGAGCTGTAATCTCTTCCAGAATCAGGTTAGAAGTGCAGTCACATAATATTCAAATAAGCCTTTAAACTGGATCAGTCAATCAAACAAACGAACAGGAACAGTTTTTCTGTTGGCTTGCGGTGAAGCCGAGTTCCTAAGGTTCAGGTGTGTGTGTCATCTGAATTCATTTGCACCTGTTCATGCAAAATTCATCTTTCTCTCCGCTAAACAATTCCATGGCTTCCCCACCTCCACAAGCAGCCATTTGCAAAAGCTAATCTGATGCAGGTGTGCTTCAGTGCTTTTGTCTGGGTTTCCTGCTTTTGGCACTAATTTGGGTGCCATGATCTAATGAACTAATGAAGGGAGAGGAGGGGTGTAGCTGAAGAAAATCACATGTTTCTGCTAGAATAGCAAGGTGGTGCAAGTGTTGAAGCTTGACATATCTATTGCAGCAGATTGCAGAAATAGTCTGTTAAGACGGCTGGTTGAAAGAATAAAGAAACTTAAGGTTGGCTACACCTGATAAGCAAATCCATTCAGAGTACATACAAGCTTATACAGGAACAGATGGGGCTCATTAACCTGCAAGGTAGTCAATCTAAGAGAAGGAAAACCCTAATTCAGTGATGGCCAAACTTGGCCCTCCAGACTACAACTCCCATCATCCCTAGCTAACAGGACCAGTGGTCAGGGATGATGGGAATTGTAGTCCCAAAATGGCTGGAGGGCCAAGTTTGTCCATCACTGCCCTAATCCTAAACCTCCACTGCCTTGCAATTATGCTCCTTCATGAGAAAGGCTTCAGGAATAAACCCTGATGAACAATCTGTATCCATTGCCTTGTGGAACTTCTTTTTTTAAAAAAATTTTTTTTATTAGTTTTCCAGACATGTAATAAAAACAAACAACAAAACAAAACAAAACATACACACAAATAAACATGTACAATTTCATAGACTCATTCTCCTTCACCTTGTTTCCCGGACTTCCCCATACCTCCCTTTTTCTGCATCCTTATTTTTCCCTTTTAACAGCAACCCTTCATTTCATTATTAATTCATCTTCATTATAGCTCCCTTAAATTTATGATATACAGCTGCAATTCTCTATTTCTTAACACCATAACATCTCAGCACTCTTCAATTTTACAACAATTTTTAAGGTATACTTTAAATTTCTTCCAATCTTCTTCCACTGTCTCTTTCCCCTGGTCACGGATTCTGCCGGTCATCTCAGCCATTCCCATGTAGTCAATCACCTTCGCTTGCCATTCTTCCAGAGTGGGTAGCTGCTGCGTCTTCCAATACTTTGCCAGAAGAATCCTTGCTGCTGTGGTAGCATACATAAAAAAAGTTCTGTCCTTCCTTGGCACCAATTGGCCCACCATGCCCAGGAGAAAAGCCTCTGGTTTTTTAGAAAATGTCCATTTAAGGACCTTTTTGATTTCATTGTAGATCATTTCCCTGCCTTGTGGAACTTCTTTGGGAGAAGCAAAGGCTAAGGGGTAAACTCTACACAAATTGAGAGTGGAGTCCCTAAGACGGTTGGATGGCATCTTGTATGCCTCCTTCCAGCAACTCTTGCAGCCAAGCTGGTGCCAAACATGTTGCTCTGCTTTCCTTTGGACCACATCCGTGAGGCTGATATTCTTGTCTGCGCAGCCCAAGACCTCCACACACTGCCCAGGTCACTTCAGTGCTGCTAACATAGCAAAACAAGCTTATGCATGGCTTTCATGGAGTCATGAAGTTAACAAAAGGAAAGTCTAACACTGAAGAAGAAGAAGCAGAAATGTCAGATATGAGAGAAGAACAATTTGCAGGTAGATACTCAAGAAGGAATCAGCGAGGGAAGAATAGATAGCTTTTTTGTCTACTGCCCCACACTGGTTCGGGTTATGTATTGCAAGCATTGTTGCTTTACTCTCAGTTATGAGCTGCTCACCCCAAGAAAGAAAGAAAGAAAGAAAGAAAGAAAGAAAGAAAGAAAGAAAGAAAGAAAGAAAGAAAGAAAGAAAGAAAAGGGTGACAAGTGGTTAAGGAGATGGGGCTTAACATGTTTGGGATGTTTTATGCTTAGAAGAAAGGGTGGTTGGGGAAGGATGATGATGGGATGCAGAGAGCATGGTAGGGAATTCTCCTCCCCCACATTATGCTAGAACCTGTGAAATCGATGGGAGATTCAGGACAAACAAAATCCTGTTTTCACACAGTACATAATAAATGCATGGAAAGAGTTGCCACAAGATGTGCTGGTAGCCACTGACTTAGATCAGATGGGCAGAAGATAGAACAGGATTTACTGGCAGATTGATAAGACAATGGCCAATAGTTCTCCTAATTGTCGCAGCAACAACAAAAGGCTTTTTCTTTCTAAATACGGCTGCTCTAATGAAGAAAGCATTTGGGGGGGGGGAATCCAGGGATGGATTTTTATATGGAATGACTGCTAACTTCATTCACTAGTAAGAACAAACAATTGGGCTAAGCATGTTCTCAAATACACCTTGTTTCTTAATTCTAAGGTTGTTTCCCAAGCTGCTATTGTGCATCTGGCTCTGACTGGTGGATTTTGGGGTTCTGGAAAACTGAAGCCTGCCCACATCTGGCTTCACAGCTTCAACCTGACCTTAGACATAGTTATGAAAGACCACTCTTACTTAGCTAACTAATCCTCAAGGTTCAGAGGTGCTATTCTGAATAGCAGCTGCTATAGAGCAAGCAAGGGGAGAGGATGTTGCCTTCATGCAGCCTTGTAGCTTGCAAAGTAAAACTAAATATAAAGTATGGTGGTGCTGGCTAGGGAACCTGTGGCTACAAGGCTCCTTTCAAGCCCAGCCAGTTGGCTTTCCAAGAAGCATGTAGTTGACCACTGTTGTAAGCCAGACATTGGACTATGGTGGCTCTTTGGTCTGAATCAACAGAGCTGCTCTTACCTCCATTCCTTGAATCCTAGGATCTGAAGGTGAAACTAAGAAATGTGGGGAAGAAGCACATTACAAGGAAACTGCTGGCAATCACTGGGATAGCATCACTGGGGTTAGAGTATGCATGAAAGGGTCGAGAACACTGT